TTGTGAACCTTTCGATTGTAAATTTGCATAAATTTGCTCACTGCAACTCGTTTGTAACTCAAATAAATGGCTAGTAACAACCCTCATGAGAACCTTTCTGACCAAACTCGTCCTCATGACTTTTTGGAGCAAATTTGTCTTCCTAACTTGCCAGTTTGATGCTACATAGATCATGTAGCTGTGTGGCTGATATAGTCGTTTAAGTTGGTCAAATGTGTATTGTTAAGGGTTACATAACTTAAATTTCTCAATACTGATTTTGCTACCAACTTCATTTTAGATTCTTGCACAAATGGTTTAACTTTTCGTCTGTCCTTACTTCTTAATTGTGTTGTTGGAGGTTTTCCCCAAGCAGCCGATGGAAAAAGCCAACTCCATCGGTGCCACATCAGCCTACATCAATCCGCCCTAGGGTTCGAGCTAGGCGTGGTCAAGCTACTGATCCACATAGCATTGCGGAGCGTGTAAAGTTTGATACACTTCACTTAAGATGTGTAGTGATCTTGGTTTTATGGAGAGATAAGGTAAAAGCTTGTTTACTTTGCCACATCATCGTAGGGAAAAGATAGCAGAACGGATCAGGGAACTTGTACCTACTGTGAACAAGGTCGGTATCTTTCACTCATAGCCTAGGTTTTTGAACATTAATCATCTCTGTTATTTGGAGTTCTTGAACACATACAAGTCTTTATTACAATTTCACATGAATCTTGGAAGTGAGATAATAATGAAAGAGGAGGATTTTGGCCATTCGTTTCAATTGGGTCTAAATTGCAAAAAAACCAAGAAGATTACAAAGAGTATGCAAACTCAATTTGATGCAAACATCGCTATAGCCTTTGCGTTATTGAACCACATACAACCAGCGGCTTAAAAAACTTAGCTTAGCAAGCGTCGAGATCACGGAATTGTGGTGGCTTTGGCTCACCGAGCAGTGTCTTGTTTCCTCCTTCTGGTCCGCACTTGATCCTCTTCGGGTTTTGAGTTCCATGCTGAAACAAAGATTTACATAATGTGAAGTTGGATTTAAGTTTTGGGTTTTGGCATAGAGGGTGTGTTCCAATCTGGATTAATTGAACCGAACCAAAAATGCATATAAGTATTCAATCGGAAAAGCAAAACGAAGAGGAAATAACCCGGTTCAGTTTCATTTTCTTCCATACCAAACAAGCTGTAATGCAATAGTACGATACAAACATCACGAAAGTAACCTAATGCTTTAATGTCTTACCGGTGGCTTTTCTCCTTTTTTCAGATTCTCAACAATCTCTACGACTTTCTCAGGGGTAACATCTTCCTGTGTATTGTAGCATGAGAAAGTGTAAATAAGATTTTATTCGTGTAGTCTTAAACCACAGAGACAAAGGAAAATAATGCTGGAGAAAAGAAAAGTTATTTGATAAGATTTTGACATACGAAATAGTTATATGTATATCCTTCTGATCCATTGGAATAGTCTGCCACAGTGATCATGGGTGCATTAACACAACATCCCTGTAACAAAACCAAATACATGAGATCTATATTGTCTCTTTTCATGTGACAGTATTGATCTAGGCGTGATTCTGCCTGATTTTAAGAATTCAGTAGAGTAAAGAGGTGATCCGAAATCCATACCATGCATTCCATTTCTCCAACGGAGAACAACCCATCCTTTGTGACTTCTGCAAAAATACATAAAACCGGAGATTGTTATGACTGAGCATCACCGCATGATTTTATTTATGGAAGGTCGTTAAAGAGCTATACCACCGCGTTTCACTCCCAAATGGTCTAGCAAAGCTGATTCGATCTCTCTTGAACCACGGATCATGCAAGGTGTTGTGCCACAAACTAGCAGGTGGTACTTTCACACCTGTAAGAACAAATGAAAAATGAGTGTGCAATGTGTGTTTTGACGAGTATGGTAGAGAGTCGAGTTTATGGGTAGTAACTGCTTCTTACCTTTGCCCTGTTAAACATTGAGTAAAATGTTGCAACCTCATAAACACAGATAGGAGCAACTTCTATAACTTTAGCAACCTGCAAAAATTTGTTGTATTGTTATATTGGAAAAATCATATTAACAGATGGTGTATTCCAAAAAAGAACTTAAGAGCTACAGAATATTAAAAGCGAAAAATGTTAGAAGAAAGAAATTATAAACACCAACTTCACAGTCCTTTCATTTGGTCAGGGAGCAGCTGGAAACACTTTAGAGAAAACATACCGCATTCATTGCTGAAACAGGGAGCCAGCCTCCATGCTGCTGTTGTGCAAGATCTAGAAGCAGAATAACAGCAGACTGCTTGTAGTTTGATGGATAGTAAGAGAGAATCTCCTTAACCTACACAATTTGGAAAAACTATTAGAATGCCCGAAAATCTGGATGCATGCGGAAATATATTTCACTTTCTATGCAAGATTTCTGCAGCCAGACATGAAAGATGCAGTAAACGGGAACCAAATGCACAAGAATGAGTTAGTACTTTTGCTCCTTAAAACAAGTTAACCAATTTCTTGACAGACTTTCCACCACACAAGCAAATTTGGTCCATCTGGAAAAGCTGTTGGCCATTTGGACCCCTAACTCAGAACTGAGGGATTGAGTTTCCCTTAGATCAGCTACCAAATAGCCAATCCAATGCAAAGTAATCGGAAATATCAGAAAATCACAATTTTTTCTGTTCAAATATCCTTTCTAGAAATGCTAACTCACAGCTTCATGGTGCCTAATCAGAAGCCAAGGACTATGAAATATTTCATACACTCTTTCTGCTCTACGTAGAAAGGTGATAAAAAGCATCTAAGACACATTGGAAGCTGCTTCTAGTCTATGCTCTTTAATCTATAGAGGAACGAGAGCTAAAGATTCCAACATTTTCCCCTAAGAGTATACACTATCTCCACCTTTACTAACATTTCACACAATCCACCCAAAAATTCTGTAACTAAGGTGACAATCTACATCACATTTTAATCCGTATTGAATGAAATCCCAATTCGTTCAACAGTTGTGTTCTTAAGTTTAAGATCAGGTTTGTTGTTAGCTACCTCGATCTATAATCAACACATTTGAAGCTGCTTCTAGTCAAGAGCTAAAGATTCCAACATTTTCTCGTAAGAGTATTATACACTAATTCACACAATCCATCCGAAAATTCTATAACTCAGGTGACAATCTACATCACAAAAAGA